CTAGCAATGTTGATGGCAACCTGCCCCTCCTCAGCGATCTGCTTGCAGACTCGTCTGAAAATCCCCCGTCCCGCCAGCCGCCAGCACTGATGGGCCGTGGACTTGTGTATTTCAGTCGCCTCCATGTTGCTTACACCTCCCGTGGGTTGTGTGCACTGGGACCGCGCTGACAGTTTGCAAAAAGGTCCGTAAACAACGTCGGTGGGAGCTGCATGGGGTTTTCCCCGACGTGTGCTCCCCATGCAGCGAGATGAAACCCTGGCGGCAGGTTTTTTTTGAACATAGGCGGGTAGTCAGTGGGAACCGGATTTGTGGAGAGGGCCGAAAACAAAAGTGGTTTTTGCAATCCCGGATCTTGTAATTGCGTGGCTTGAGCCTGCGTGCAATGACTCCGTTCTTCGCTAGGCTCCTCACGCAAACCCCCCCATCCGCGTCGTGATGCAATTCAATCAGGGAGGAAAAGTCCGAGAGAGAAGACATCATATGCGAGTTTTGGTGTGACGCATGCATGACGTTTGAACTCGCATCCGTTCCCGAATGCCAAGATTCTGGACACAGGCTCGGCATGCCGTGGCCATCGATGCCTTCGGCATGCTTGATACGAACCCCGACATTGTTTTTGTTGTAGCTGTGTGGCTGGTGTTGGTGCGGAGCAACTGAGGCAATTTCAACATTGCGGAAAGCTGCCGCCGCATATGATGGTAGGGGCTTGAGCCATGAATATATGATGTGTTGTGGGGGTATACCGGGATCTTGTGATCTGAAGGTTCGATCATCAACCGCATTGTTGGCCACCGTGTGGCACTCAGTTGGCCCGAAAATTGTCACGATGAGGTACGCAACTGAAGACCATTCATGTTGCATATGAATCGAAGGATGCCGGCTTCCTGCGTTTCACTGTCACCAAAACTCGTGGTGGCAGTGGGAGAGTCGAATTTGCGGATCTGCACGGCCCCTATTTGTTGGATGTGCTTCAGACAAGACGCGCGAAGCTTGCATTCAAGTAGGTTTAGTCTCGACCATGATGTGGTTTCCCCTCAGGGTGTTGGAGGACGAAGCTGGCCAACCAATCGACCTTTCCAAAAAACAGGACGTGATCCAGGCATCGGCTTCCTCGTTGGTCAACGTGCGTTGTTCTGACATGTTCTGGAAAGATTCGATGTGTTACGCAGGTGTACAACTAGCGCCAGCAAATATGGGTTTGTGTTGACGTCAGTTTGTGTTGACGTCACAGCAATGTGCTGCACGCTTTCCCCAGAACAGGCGCGGCTGGACGGCCCAAATGTATTGGAGACGCCGGGAATTCTCGACTTTTGCATCGATGGAAAGTTGGTTGCTGGGCTACATTGTCACCTCAACACCTGCCATGGTTTGTTCATGTGAAAAGTGTCGGACCCGTGAACCTGCACCACAGTGTGCCTTCGGGAAGAAAGCGTACCGGTGAGGACACCAGCTGCGCGCTGGAAGTTGGGCAAAGCATTGTTATGCAATTGTCACCTGGCCCCAGCCTGAGTTTTCCTGAATGAAATACAAACAAACAGTTAACATGAATTTATGATTGATTTGTATTGGGTATGCTAATCGTAACGCTGTAAATGGTTCCGCGTGGGTGCACATGTGATGCGCTGCAACAGCCAACATTTGGATTGGGCTCAAAAAGGCGCGGAAAAAAACATTTTCTTCACATGTGATGTTGAGTTATGCGCATGTGTGAATTGTGCATGTGATGGTAAGTAAGGCCACCAGGTTGGGAGCTATGGCTTCAAGACCGCCTTGGAGAACAGCACGGAGGCAGCCTCAAATCCCAGAGCGGGCATTTTTGATTCTCATATGTCAGCAATCCTTCGACATGTGGTCATTGCTGGGTGGCTTTGTTGTGCAATCCTGTTATAACTGTATTTCAACCTCTTCGTGGCCGTTTCAAATATCCCGATTCTAACTTCGATTGTCAGCTCCAGACGGTCCAGCACGATTGCGCACTCGCATTGACATCAGCATCCACAAAACACAGTTTTGTGCCGACGGCATTGAACACAGGTTGCAAATCTTGCGTCGAAGAAGGAAAGGGATCATTCGTTGGCATCCCAAAGGATGCTGGCTTGACTTTCGTCAATATGCGGCGTGGCGTGCGGCAACATTCACTTGGCCATGTATCTTTTCAAGAGCCGTTAACTATTGCATGAAAGGTTTACGAGCTGGTATTTCGCGAGTTCTTTCTATCGGGCATGATTCAGAGGGGCCTGATTCAGAGGGTAAACAATGGAGGTTCTCCACATGGGACAGCAGCCTACGAAAAAAATAACTTCATGCAAACATAGCAGTGCACAACTAGAGCTAAAAAAGGCACTGCAAAAAAACAAGCTGCACAATAATCATTCCTTGGTCTATGTTTACTGCCGGCCTAGGGCCGGAGGGGTGGGTGAGCGTGGTCAGAGTGCGTGGGCGTGTCAAATCAATGGAACGGGTTGGAAGATCAGGTTCTATTGCTTTTCCGGTCAGCGGTTGTACTCGTTACCTCACAAGGTTATAAGCTTCCCAACAAAGGTTATGTTCCGCCAAAAACCCAATCGGGTTTCTTTCCGAATCAGATTTCATTGGTTTCTTGTGGATCATTTTCCCAATCCAATCTATTTTTGAATCAGACTCCTTCTCAGTTTCCGAGTCGTACTTGACGGATCATGGCATGACCAATGCCATATCACATGCATCGTTCGGTCTCTTGGTTGGGGATGTGACATTCAAACAGAGAGCTTTGTCACTAGAACAGCTAGCTAGACTGACGTAATTGGGAATGGACGAGCGAATGATTTAACCAGCCAGGGCAATGCCCAGGACAACCCGTAACCTGCTCCCAGAACCCAGTCACCCATTCTTATCAGCTGGTTCAAGAATCGCCCGGTTCAGGGAGTTAGGCTCCGTGTTGGCACGTTGCATTTTTTTAAATCAATGCTCACGTGCATGTTGGTGTCAATGCCGCTGGCACCCGTTGGCAATGGGAGCTTCTGGTCTCTGGTTAGATGGGGTTCAGTTCTTATGGTCCTAGTTTCCTCCATGCCACCAAATTGCCAGAAAGCAAACTAGCTCTGGCACTGGCGGCTGGTCCTTGGCGAACAGAGTACCTTTCGTACATGGATCATTCACCTGACTGAGGATAAGGATTTTGGAGGGCCTCGTACGAATGGATGTTCACCCAAAACATGCCAAGCAAAGCTCTCCTATCAACTATGAGTCATGGGCATTACCGCAACTTCTTCCCTCTTACACGGTCCGGGCCACATGTTCGGGCTGTCCGGGCCACATGTCCGGGCTGGGCCACATGTTCGGGGTCCGGGCCAAAGTCCTGGGCGTCCGGGTTGGGGGGACCAAAATGACCGTTTTTGGGGGGACCAAAATGACCCCCCTACCCTCTTACACACTGAGGTCAGATATCATCATGTACTATCTCCTGTCTAGATCCCATCCGCTCAGCCATGAAGGTTTGGGCTTCGTCCCTGGTTAGCCACGAAATGTTGTAGCTGACAATGATCCCTGAGGTGCGGTCCTATGACCCTGTCGCCTTCAAAATGGAAAGGTCTCAAGATGGCCCCTGGGCTGAGGGTTGGCAAGTGGCAAGTGTTAGCTTTTCAGTGAAGCCGTATGATGCCATGGATTGCTGCCTGGGGGCATCATTCCAGGTCCCATCTCCCTGAAGCCTTCATGTGGGCACGGGTTTATGGTGGTCTGGTTCGTTGTGAGATTTTCAAGAAGTACTCGTTGATGGCTGGAACTTGCCAATCAACATTGCTAGGTCGGCCACTTTTCTACTACGCGTAGCCAGAACAGATGTCCAATCTTCTCAGCGATAGCAACCCCATTTTTGGGCGCAGAATTGTGCAATTGTGCAGAGTTGTGGGCAAGCTGGAGAAGACGTGGATTGTGGTGGAGAGACCTCTAAATCATTGTAATTACATTTGCTGAACGCTGAGTACCCTTCGCTGTGGAGGTTTCTATAGTTTGCCATAAACACAGTCAGTAAGTTAATCGTGTGAGATATCATCTCAGTTTTGTTTCCTGTAATGATTGACCCACAATGTGAGGTTTCAGTTGAAATCGTTTGGAGATACAACAGGTCTTACTTTTCCTTTCAAAGACATCAAATAGTCAGCATGAGTTCAGAAGGTAGTAGGATCTCAGGCTGTCATCTGCGCTTTCGGACCTCTCACACTCGAAAGCTGTCAGCTTGGAATCCAACGCATGAAGCTGACGGACGGCAAAAAACAAGAAGCGCATTGGGGCTTACGCTGCAACCTCAAGTTTCATGCAGACTGAGGTTCTGTGTGGCGTGAACTCAGTGTCAAAGCTGCAGTGGACACGCCGACCGATGGTGGAATGATGGCCTCTTGCCTGCAGGGCGAGTTGCATGCGAAAGATTTAAAAAGGCTGGAGCAGAATGCCTACACGAAAGCCTGGGCCAGCGTCTGCAACATGTGGGCCCAGTGAAGATTCTGTGCTTCTGTTGAGGTGGGCCCATTTATTCTCTCGGGCTCCGAAAGCGGTGTTGTTGAAGTTCACAATGAAGTGCCGCCTATGATGGCGAAGGCACACTTGCAGTTTGCAGCATTGCCATGCGTTGCAAGGATTGCTGAGTTCCTCACCTTCACCCGCATGTGCCGGTTACGTGTTGTATCATCAAATTTGCGTTAAAGGACATGGCCTTTCTGTTGTGAGTTTCCGGGTGAAACTGGCTGCAGGACATCCCAACCACAACGGCCATTCGCAACGTGGCAGCAATGAGTGTTTTTGCTTGCGTGTAGACCTGTTACAACTCGGGTACTAAGAGAGTCTTCGTAAAAAGAGGGCAAGATTGAGCGGTGTCAAGAACGTACATCGCTTGCAATGCACAAAAGACACCATTGAAGGGGGCACTGCAACATGGCGTAGAGTGCAAGCAATTCTCTCCGACGGGAGTCCTTTGATTCGCTAAGCATTAAATGCTTGGTATGTTGAACCTTGCCCTGCAGGAGAAGTCCCAGCAGATACCCCTGATGTTGGCTGGGGCAACGTGATCTCGAGAACTGTTGCGACCTCAGGGTCGACACAATCTTACTGTCAGGGGGTTGTTCGGAATCAGGGGGTTGTTCAGACAAAGAAAGCTGCAGGTGGTGCAACAGGATGCTATCACTCTCCACTAGTTTGGAGAAGTTCAGGCATCTCTGAAAGATGCGAAGCCTCACAAGTGATGTTTTCATGCCTGAACCGTCCAGGGCTGAGGCATATTTGAATTTCAATGCCTCGCAATGCTGCCCCAGACAACGCCGCTGCCGGCAGCGCCTCCGGCAGCGCCGCCGACGGTGGCTGTGCCTCCCAGACAGTCCGCCGTGGCAGCCGAACCTGTGCCAGTGGCGGCGGCAGAGCCGCGGTCTGCCGGGGACGGGAAAATTGCGAGGAATCGAGGACTTGACAATTTGACTGCTTTTGCGCATAAGGGCAATGAGAATTCTGCAGTTTGACCTCAGTTGACCCCGAGAGCCATGCAGCCTGAGCATGGGCACCACTAGCGGGTTTGAGAAGCGCAAAACCAAACCAACATTGGATGATGATCTGTCTTTTGGTCTGAATACGAAGTACGTAGTCGCGTGTAGTTACTACGCAGCTTGTGATCTGAATGCAGGCCTATCTTTACCACAAGCACGGCCATCCCGGATGTCCCTGCTGCTCCCAAGCTTTGACAGATTTTAACTGGTTTGGGTTCCTCTACAATCCAGTGCTAAAGCGGCTGCCCTTAGAGCTTTCAGTCCGCGTAGCAGCGGGACAGTGCCAGAGCGCAAGGCAGTACGGATGCGTGCCAACATCATCCATTAGGGGTCAAAGGTCAGCATGCATGAAGTAACGTGAATGGCCTTTGCCAAAGGTGCAGGGATGTCGAAGTGTTTGGCCAGCAGCGTGTTATCGCGCACCGCGTAGTCACGGGGAGGTTTGCCCTAAGATGGCATTACCACTCCCAGAGGCCAAGAACAAGAATTGCCATTGGCTTGCCGTCCAAGGATGCGCCTAGTCGAGTTGCCACTGCAGTGATCGATGCAGCAGAGACACCTGGCCGTGCTTGGTAGAACTGAAGGTGGTGACCTGGTGGTGTTGCCTCAAAACAACCATGGACATGGAACCCCAAGTTGCTCAGTTGCTCGCGATTTCACAATTTGAGGCATTCCGGGATGCCGCTGGCTCAGCGCATGGCCGCGGCTACTGCGGCGGCTGCTGCTGCAAAGAGTGTGGCCAAGCCAGCCAGCAAAGAGGCCCTGCAACTCCTTGGAAGCTTTGATGTCGACCCTAGCGATGAGCCTGCTACACAGTTTGCCATCCTTCACTTGCGCGCTTGTCTGCTTCCGTAGTGCCTCTGCTATGCTGGCCTGTGCCGGACTGAAAGAACACTGCACAGTACATCACAGTACACCATCTAGAAGCCCGACGACGCCAGCCATCTTATGAATCTCATGGCATGCTTCCTAAAAATGAGGCAGATCAGAGTGATCCGCTTAGAATCCCCGCCATTTGAAGCCCACCCTTGAAGGTTCGTTGGACCTGGTGCGTAGTTACAGCTAAGCTACGGCCTTGGTGATAGTACCCCTGTGCTGCAGATAGGTTGCCCCAGTTAGTTGGGGTTCCAGACTCAATACCCCCTGTCATTATAGTTCCTGCGTCCCACAAAGCTCCAAATAGGGTCCAGGCACTGGGAACTTGCATCAGGATTCAGGGTTGGGTCGAATTTAGGTTCATTGTCTTCGAGGATTCAAGGTTTAGGATGGGTGCAGGGCGAGAAGACATGGTTCTAGGGCATTGGGCGGGAGGTCAGGGCGTTCGGAGATGGGGGGGGGCACGTAATTTTTCTGCGATGAGGGGCCGGATCCCGATTTCTTTGTTGCAAAGGCTTTCAGGCGGAGACGAACTTTTCGAGTTCTCCCGATAAGCAGGATAAGATTTTTGGAAGGCAGTTTTCAGTCCATGGTGTCCTAATCCAGAGTCAAACTCTCTGGTATAGAGTTTCTTTGTCGGTTGGAATCCTGAATGTCTCGAAGCAAGAAAATCTCTACTGTAAGTTGCAACCAAGACATGTCCTAGAGTCTCATGCACTTCCGGGTGTAAGTGCCATTAGTGTTTTGCAATATGCTACCTAGGAAGGTCTTGGCCTGACTTATTTGGAAATGTCTGCTTTTGTGTGTTGTTTTCACCATGCAGGCCATTGCGGAAGCTGCAGCTTTGGTGGCATTAATGTGCAAAAATACAGCGGAAACATCACTAGTATGATTCTGATGCTACAGCTACTTCATCCATATGGTACAGCTGAGAACTGCGAGGGTAAGGTACGCTGAATTGGCAATATGCAGCTTTTTGCGATGCAGCTGCTCTCAGTGGGGAAGATCTCTGCTCTCAGTGATGGAGGCTGAAGCGTGGATTCAATCAGGGTGGTTGGGTGTGACTGGTGAGCAGCCGAATAGCTGGAGCCACGTGTTGAAGATCTAGAGAGCCGCACCAAATTGGCAGGGAAGGAGTAGAGTGGATGAGCAGCGTGGTGCTGCCCATTTGTGGAATGCTGTTTCTCCACAGGATTCAGTACATTTGGCTGATTTGGCTGTTGGGGTCCCGAGGCTGCAGCCGCTGGGCTTGACACTGGCCGTCTGCACGCTGTCAATGCTGCCTTAGCCAAGGTGCAACCGAGGATGTAAGTCAGTGTGCATGTAAAGGTTTCATGGCTTCGGTTTTGGAGTCTTAGATTCTGTTGAGACACTTGGCACTGTAGTTGCCTGCAACATTGATGATGGTCATGATTTTCCGTAGCATGCAATCAAGAGGACTTTCAGTTACCCCTATACCAGAGTGTTACCTGCGAGCACAAGACGGGCAGCTAAGCTGCCAGTCATGTATGATTTCAACCTTCTCGCAGATGTTTATCGAACAGCGGTGGGGATTTCTTTGCCTTTCGAACTGCAATGTAATGCCCATGACAGACGTTGGCCTCCCCAGACAGCCCTTTTTTACCGCAAGCTAACGAAATGCGGGAAACATTCTTCCGCATAAGTTCGGCATCCCAAATCCTCCTGGCAAAAAAGCACAACAAAATTTGGATCCCTGGCAGCTTCGCAGAACCACCTACGCGCGGCCAACAAGATACGTAAATCCTGCGCGCAGTGCAAAGATTTTGTGTTCCAGGTATCTCCAGATCGTCTTCCAGCTCTCCTCACCCTGTGGCATGCGGCAGCGAATGCTGCCCGCCATGCTGCAGAGCTTGGCCCAGAGAAGGCAGTATGGGCATGTATGAGATGTCAATGCCAAGCACCCGTGTCAGTTTCCATGCGCCAAGAGTTGTAAGTGGCCATGTCCTTTTCCGACCTGTGCGTTCCGGGCAGCATCGTTGTGGAAGCTGGTGCAGGTGTCGCACGTTGTTGAGGCTTCAGCTGCTGCTGGCCTGACGATCGAACAGCAGGCAGGAATTTTGCAGGATTTTGGCCAGTTCGTTTTTTGACACCTGAATGAGTTGGGATGGCTTTGAGGCTCAGGCAGCGGCTGCTGCAGCAGTGGCCGCGGTCGCTTCCATGACAACACCAGGTGCAGACCTGATGATATGCTAATGTGCAAAGACCGCTGAGATATGTTCTCACCTGTGGTGAGACCATAGGGCAGGTTGTCAGGGCCAAGTGTGGCTCTAGGGTACATGCGCATTTGAAGGGTTGATGGATCCAATATGCAAGAGAACTACTGGGTGGCCAGTCTTTGCAGCTTACCGCTTGTGTACCGGCATGAAAGGTCTGCTTGCACCGCTTCGGCCATTGTGGCATCTGGAGGTCCGGAAGCGATGATCACCGCAGCTGTGAAAGCCGCGGAGCAGGTCAGGGCCCCAGGACCTCAGGGCCTGCAAGTAGTAATCTGTGTTTTAAATGTTGTTTGTTATTGCTTGGCCTTGGCTACTGCTGCTATCAGCCCACATCCAGAGCAGAGGGATTCACTGCTGAGGCTGGAATGCCATTAGACAAGCAGTCCGAGATGGTGGCCCGACAGATTGCATCAGGTACTGTGAGGAAGCAGCTCTCGTGCCTTTCCAATGTTGATCCAGCTGAGGCTGCGGTCATGCAGGTCCAGACTCCGCAGGACCTTTGCTAAGCAAGAGTTGGTATTCCTGAAGTCGGCGCACAGTTTTTTTCACGGTTAGTCACACGAGGAATCAACTCCAGGTGCACATGCAAAGACTGAGGGACATGAAATGTGCAGTCGTGACATTCAAACCATGTCACGTAAAGGGAACATGTGCCAGTGCCGACCACGGTCGATATCTCCAGTGCGACGACAGGTGGATGCACTCAGACAGGTGTGATTCCAACATCAACATTTTGCACACGTGGCCCGCTACATGCCTGTAAGGAGCAGGACGCGCTTGTTCGCATCCTGCATGTGGCAGAGAGCCCTGGCAATGCTTTTGCAGCTTTTTTGTTTTGGTTTTCGATTGTGCTCAGTGGATGTAAGTGATAACCTCCAATGAGTGTTTGGCTCATGTGCTCCAAGGCTCCTGCCCACAACCACGCTGCCGCCAGAGGAGGTTCCAGAGTTCGACGGCCGCTTGTTTGGAATGGCAATATGCGCGTGTTAGCTGTTGGCTTCGCTTAAGCCAGAGACGAAGAATGCAGGTTTTCGTGCGATCCCACCCTTGCATGCAGATCTCAAAGCTGGCCGAGAAGCAGGTATTCAGATTTCTTTGTGTTGCCCTGCGCCCCTTGAAAACTTGAGGATTCAAATGCTAAAGCACGCTGAAGCAATGAGCGTTCAGTGCTCTGCTTTGGTGATGAGTGGGGACCGAACAACTGAGATAATGCTGTACATGTCGCATCAAGGGTGTAGCTTACCCCTGTTCCGGTGATCTATGATAGTGTTTTCGAGCTTGTCCCTACCTGTCATCCGCCGAGAGGCTGAGAGCCCTTCTTCCCCTCTAGCAGACTTGCATGAAAGAGGCTCTGTGGGCCAGTGGTGGGCCTTTTACGATGCAAGGCCTCGAATAAAGAAAGGCATTCTCATATTGCATGTAGCAGCTGGATTCCAGAGAAGATTCTGCTATGTGAAAAGCACTTCTGGGGGATAAAGAGAAGACGAAGAAACCCAGAGCACAAGAAGACTTTGTACCCAACCAGGCCGCTTGCAAATTATTGAACGAGGGACTGCTACACCCCAACAACGCGCAATTTCAGGGAGCAGCCCCGCTGCCAAAATGGTGGCGGACACCATCAAGCAGGCCATGCTTAAGATGACATTCGCTCATTTGACTTTCAGCTGTTGGAGCAGAAACGCTTTGCCTTGTGCGTAACATGGTTCACTGGTGCAACTCTGCAACTTCTTTGATAGCATCCGCTGCATGGGTTGAGGGTCAGCTGCACAAGCGACGCGGTTGAAGCTCCACTAGGCCTGCATCATGATGTGACTTGTGTATGCAAATTTGTAAGCCTGTTCCAAATCTGGGGTGCTGAGTGTTAGTTCCCTAGACGCCTTGGCTTCATTCTGATAGTGGCCGCCCGATTCAGATGCAAGATGCAGGTCATCCAAGACATTCCTGTGAGCCCACAGAAGAAGATGCAGGCTGGCATGGCGACTGCTTGCAAGAATGTGCTCCTGGGTCCGTTTACAGGGTCATGCCAGGGCGCGCCTCATCCCGCAAGCTGCGGGCATCATTGGTCATATAGTCCCATGCCAAATGGAAGAACCCATGACTTCATGGCGGGCGCCAAGTTGAGTCAAATGTCCTACTCTGCAACGTTTTGGCTGCCTCTTCTAATGTGCAAGCTTTGCTAGGATAGCTAGGGGTTGCATGCCAAGATTGCAGGTGGTGTCTGCGGCTGCTAGGGCCGCACAAGTTGCTGCGGAGCACTCCTCCACAACGGACGCTTGGCTTTGTTGGGTGTTTTTTGCTGGGGAACAGGTTGCTGCACCTCTGCGGCACCAATGTGTGCTACTGAAGGCCTATGATGCTGCCGCTAACAGCCGGCCTTCATCGTTTTGAGGGGGATGTGCATCACAAAATCAATCGAGGACCAGCAAAAGATGACATGGTGATAAATAACAGTCAGAGCTACCAGTAGCGGAGCCAATGGAAACTGTGATGCAGCTAGGAGGAACGGAGAAAAGGAAAGAGAGAAGGAAGGAGGGAATGAAGAAAAAGATAGTGTCTTATTGAAGTTTCTTAGTCTTCGCATCTTATAAAGAGACCCAAATGCTGTAATCAAGCATCCGCAGGTTCCGCACATTCGAAGGATCTCCAAATGCCCTAAATTAGTGGGTCCGCAACTTGGGAAGCTTGCCAACTGCTGCAATTTGCAGTATCTGTGGCTTTAATGAGACCTCCAAGTGACGGTACGCACTACGGTACACCACCTTTCAAGAGCTCCTAGGGCTGTAAGTTTCAGAGTCTGGCGATGTCTGGAGTTATTTCAAAGCTTTTAAATTCTTTGAATGTATCAGCATCTGCAACCAGCGAGGAGGGTGGCCCCCCTCCCCTTAACCTTCTGGCGGTTCGTACTGCAGCATGTCATCACTTGTGAATCTTCAACTGCGGCCCTGTCCGTCCAAGATTTACCAATGGGGGCCGCCCCCGCGCCAATCCACCACTGGTCTACAGAGTGGCACGGTTCACAACGCCTTTGCTTTCCAAGAGGGGCATGACTTATGAATTCGCATGCTTCCGGTTGAACTTTCAACGGCTGCCACACATCTCAATGGTGGCAAGCGGGCGTGCCGCACACAACCTGAAACTGTTTTCATAAAATGGCATCGCTTGAAACTTGACCTCTTCTGAATTCTGATAATCCTGATAGTTAGTCTGCAGCTACTACCACATCATCCCCCAATGGTTTGTGCAGTTTGTAGCAAGCAGCTTTGTGAAGTTTAGTTTCATGTCGAGCCTGATTGCTGTTGATCGATATTTGTTTTCTTTCACCTGCCACAATTGCCACCTTTCTTGAGCCACAGACCTCCTTCGATGGCGTGCGGATGGTTGTGGAGGCGGCGGAGGCTGCCGGAATCAAGGCGTGTCTTGTGTGTGCGGTTTGGGGATTGGTCGCGGCTGATGGGAACTGCTCGTACAACTTCTTCGAGCCGAACTGGGTCAAACACCTTAAGGCTTGCATCTAAAATGTCTGGCATATGAGCAGGATGCGGAAAAGTTGCAGAAGGTGCAGGAGGAGGCAGAAGTACTGACTCCTGAGAAGCAGAAGGCA